GTCATAAATGTGGCTGCAAGGTCGAGTGGTTCCCAATTGTGTATTGCCGCATTTATTATCTTTTCTTTCTTCTCGTGAACAGGGTTGCTTCTTTTAAAATGTTCCAATTCCCAAGTAATTGTGGCTATTTCTGATAGTAAGTTGGTTTAAATGATGCTGATAATAATGGTGCTACTGCAACTACTACTAATAATAATGATAAGGATGATAATAAAAGAATGATAACAATAGAATATATAACAGTTCTTTCTTGCCTCGCTCCTCCTCCACCTCCCTCCTCTTCCTTCTCCTCCCCCCTCTGACCGCTCCTGCTCCTCCTTATCCTCCTCCCTCCCTCCTCCTCATTCTCCCCCTCCTCCTCCTCCTCCTCCCTCCTCCTCTTCTTCTTCTCCCCCTCCTCCTCTTCCTCCTCTTCTTCTTCCTCCCCCTCCTCCTCCTCCTCCTCCTTCTCCTCCCCCTCCCCCCCTCCCCCCCTCCTTCTCTCCCCCTCCCCCTCCTCCTCCTCCTTCCCTCCTTCTCCTCCTCCTCTTCCTTTGCCAGAGGCCAGAGAGGAACGAGTGCAGTGTGCTCGAAATATGCATAGATATGAATCGGTGTTAAAACGTGTTCAGAAAATATTTCTGTCTTTGTTCTTACTTTCACCTAGATGCTTATCACCTAGTTTCTGCATCAACCAATCTATCTATATCTATATCTATTTATATTTGTTTTTATTGATTTATCTATTTTTATTTTTATTTATTTATTTTTTTAAGGAGGGGAGTGATAACAATTATCGACTTTATCCATTGTTCAGCGTTCTTTGTTGTTTTTTCCATGCTCCGTTGAGAATCCTGCACACTCAATTGTTAGACCCCTCCACCGCCCAGTATACACATCTCACTTCACAATTTTAAAGAAATATGAACATCTTCCTTTGTTTGTTTTTGTTTTTTACTGCAATGTTATACAGTTCTTTACGGTATTCAGACCATTGCAGCAACGATAAAGTACACTAATGCTCAATGACGTAATTTCTTTTTCTGTAGCTTTATTAGACTTTTTGCTATTTCTAAAGCTTTTCACTGTGTTATATAAGGCTTGTTGCTATCATTTCATAATTAACCAATTTTTAAAATATATTTCTTTTATTTTTCTGATATTACGATATTATTTTCTCTCCCTTTTTACTTTCTTTATCGGTCTCTAACCTTCCAATCTTTTTTATATCTTTCTTTTATTTTCAAATCTTTCTTTTTATCTTTTCTTCCATTTTATCTCTTCTCTCATCTCTTTCTTCTTCTTTCCTATCTCCTTTTTATATCTTTCCTCTTCTTCTTTCTCTGAAATTATCGCACGTATTGTCATAATCATCATTTATCCACAATTTCCTCTTCCATTCGTAACCGAGAAGTAAGTACAAATTCACAAAGTCTTTTGTATCCTGATGAGATTGGTAACTTCCTGTCCATTAGACATGTGTTGGTTTCGTCGTGTTTTTGCTTTAGAGTCTGATCATGTGTTGGAATCATTTAGCTTTAAGGATTTTAGTTTTTATTCGATGTTACTGCTGATTTCAGTCAGGTGTTTTTGTTTTTTCTTTGTACAGAAGTTATTCTATTCATTTATCTTTATGTTATCATTTTTTAATTGTTGTTGTTATTGATATTGCTAGTAGAAGTAGTAGTACCATTATCATTTTCATTATTATTTGATTTGTTATAACTGTTATCGTTATTTTCTTAGTATTGATAGTAATGTTATTAATATTAACCTACTATTATTTGTGTTATTATTGTTGTTGTTATTTTCATAATATCATGCAGTAGTAGTAGTAGTAATGTTGCTGTTTTGCTATTAATATTTATTTTCATTATTGTTATAATTTTTATTGTTTGTATTATATTATTGCTATTTATATTTATTATATTTATTATTATTATTACTGTTATTATTCTATTATCATTATTATCGTCATTTTTTATCATTATTATATTACTGTTTTGTTTTCCTATGTTTATTTTTATTGTTATATTTTTTCAGTATCATTTTCATTATTATTATTGCTGTTAGTTTTATAATATTTATTGATTTTTATATATTATTATTGTTATTATTATATTAATAGTATGATTATAACTATCATTATTGATATCCTATTAGTCTAACTATATTATAATTATTATAATTACCATTACTATTATTATTATCTTGATCATAAATAATTCCTGCTGCTGTTCTTGTTCCTGCTATCACTGACTTAAGATATAACAATTAGCCTAATTAGCATTATTATCATTACTATCACCATTACAGAAGATTAGTACCATTCCATCCTCGTATCAGTCAGGAGTTACCAAAAATGAGGATATATTGTCACGTGCTTTGCAATCTGCCGACCCACGCAAGGTGACCCAAACTTGGCTTGCATGAAGATAAGGACGTGAGGTGATAACGCGTTAGATATGACTGAAGATGAGGATTGAGACAAAAGTTTCCCCCTTCTAGACCTTCGCATGAAGCTTATCATTCGCAAAAAAGAAAGAAAGAAAGAAACAGTAGATTATAAGTGAATAAGCGAGACAGAGTGAGAGTTTTGTAGACTAATATTAAAATGAAAAATGCGAATTAAATCTATAGATTTTAATTAAGAGAGAGAGAGATTATTATTCGCATATATATTAGTATAAATCATTAAAAGAATCACCAAACTGTTATAATGATATTTCATATTTTTCATATAAAAATATAAACTAAAACAAATGAAGCAAGAAAAAAATAAAACAAAAACATGCAACCCTCAAATGCAAACATCGCTACTTCGATGAACTCAGAAATCATAAAAAAAATGAATAAAAATGATAATGCAAAGATTGGATAATATGAAATACGTGATGATTAATGCCTAAACCGTATTAACACCAGCAGTCTCGCTTAAACTAGGAGAAGTAGGTAAGGAGAATGCAGTTAATGACATTCCTGATTCATAGAACTTCCATTGATGAGATCTGAGAGACCGATATTGGAGAATTGGTAAATGCGAGTTGCTGGTACATGGAATTACATATATTAATGATATATGGCATAAACACACAAACAAAACCCAAAAACAAACACTCATACATATGCGTATGTGTGTGATGAGAGAGAGAGAGAGAGAGAGAGAGAGAGAGAGAGAGAGAGAGAGAGAGAGAAAGAGAGAGAATGTTAGAACCTACAATGGCATATATTCTAGTACTTTACAACCCTTGCCTCGGCCTTAGCTCTAACGGTAACCATGAATTTAAAGATTCTGGTATAAAGGACACCAATCTGCTGCTCCGAGAATTTCAATAACGCAGTAGTGGCAGCCCTTCTCACTCTTAGGGAGATGCTTGCTCGTGCATTAACACCGTAGATGGGAGAGGAAGGGGAAAAGGAAAGGACTCACTGGTTCACATTCTACCGATCTAAGCCCCGGGCACTCTAGAGAATCAATGATAATACTGAGGAGTTGGATTGTATTTGCCAAGGGGAGTGTATAACATTATGCTTTTAATGCTATATGGCCTCTAGTGAAAATATAATGCAGGTATCGCACTACAGGTCTAGTCCGTTGAAACTGTGAAACTGTGCTCTCCATATCGCTCCAAAGTGTCAAAAGGAGCGCCAGGTTAGTATATGTTCTTTCAAGCCACCTTCTTTAAAAGAGGCGACCTTCTTTCTGGCTTTTCCAATAGGTAATTGCAGTGATTTTTCTTTTCTTTTAATTACCCTGGTCTTGGTCATCACCTAAGGTACCCCAGGAAAGTTCCATGGTCTTATAACACAAACCTTCTAAAACATCCTTTGGGTTTGGGCAGTACGATCGACGTTGTATGTTTGTTTCCACCCCGCTTCTCTCTCGTTGTACAGCTTTGAGCAGCGAATACTTTTCGATGTGTTTTGCTTGTATTATGATTTTATGCGTTTGTAGTTGAAAGTTTACCTTCTCTACTCCCATATGGATGTTCTTATGTCGCTCCCTGTTTCCATTCTCTTGTCTGGCCTCCAATGTTTGCTCCTGTGTTAGTGGTCGTCTTTGTTTATGCACAAGGCTTGCAATATTTACGATTTGGTGTTCCTTGTCCGTCTTCTTTCCTTTCTTTTCTTTTTCTTTTCTTGTCACTTCCAATATGCTTGTTCCCGAGTTCCCGTGTTAGTATTTCCTTAACAGTTCCTTTGTTCATCTTTCTCTGCTTTTTTGTTCCTAAAAACTACATTCCTTCGTTAATGTGTTTGTACCTCTCATAACGTTCCTATTTCCGCAGCGTTTCTTTAAATGTTTATTAGCCTAAGTGACTGACTATTCATTTTAAACAATAAACCAAATATCATTCACACCTACTATATCTGAGTAATGGTCAATCGTGCCGTTACTGAATAGCGCAATAAAAACATATGCTCCCATACTGTGCTTAGGCGTTTTAAGCAGTCATACGAATTCGTACTTTCTCCCTGTGTCTAGCTGCCTGTGATCTTATACTCTAGCCGTACAGTGTTCCTGTTATTCCTCAAAGAGTGACCTAAGAAGCCAACTAGCGTCCGTGGTATAAGGCGAAGGAAAAGTATTATGGTGGAAGAGAGTGTTCAGTCATTCCCTTACTTAGTTTAGAAATATGTATCGTTTGCCCTGGTTATAATGCTATGGATTATATGATCAATTTGTCTAACGATCGAAAGCAATATAACGTTTATATGATCGTATAAACCAAAGGATCATATCATTGTATATAATAAAACAACAGTACAGTTACTAGCTCATTCCCCTAACAAATAAATAAAACAAGTAATACATGATAATAATAACTAGTTCGTTCCCTTTAAACAAATGAGAAGAAGAAATCCAAAACAAGTAATATAATATAATAAGTGGTAGTAGTAGTAATAATGATGATATAGATAACCAAAAATAAATAAAAATATATAATACCCACCTACATCCCTGAAATAATCTCACTATGACAATACTTTCTCTCAAGGTAATAAGCATAAAAACTCACCGACAAGTGGGATGGTGACCACAGAAGAAAGTGAGCTGGAGGGTCATGTTGTCCCCAGGAGAAGGTTTGCACTCCGGGTGTCCTGCCGCCGCACACTCGTCTAACTGCATGTTGAACCAGGACTCCGGAGGTCGCTTCTTCTGCTTTAAGGATCTGAGGAGGAAAAGTAAGGGGGTTATTTCCTTCCTTCCTCTTCGGTCTCCATGCTGGGTGCTAAGATGATTTCCGAGTGTTATGTCTTTATACACACACGTGTACAGGTACACGTACACGCAACTATACACAAACAAAAAACGTACACACACATATTTCTGAGTGTTATATCTCTATACACACGTACAGATGCACATACACACAAATATACACACAAACACACAGATGCACACAAACAAACACACATACACATACAAACAAACACACCACATACACACAGTCAATGAAATATAACAAATTTGAAAAAAATAAGTTTTAAAAAAGGGGAAACTCCAAGGACAGGAAAGAAGAAGTAACACAACTTCAATGATTTGTTAAATATGAAGAAAACTTGAATGTCGTAAATATAAACATTTCAGGTTAGTGAAATAGAAAACACAATGAGTAAACTTAACAAGAGCGGTTGTCAACATGTACCTTCATATATCTACCTGCTCACAATTATGTTACAAAAATAGCCCCACTAAGAAAGAGATGTTAAGAAGTTATTTGAACAATTCTAAGATTAGAATTAATTGGGAAAGTTTAATTTCCAACGCAGTACCTTATTCGTGGAGTGCAAAATCACTTAGAAATCGTAAATGAGCAATGCCTTCATAAAAACTATGTACTACAAAGGACACGTATTCACAGGATGTCTACGCTTGAAATAAAATAAAAAAGAAATATAGATGACATAAAAGACTGGGGAAAAAGTGATCACGTAGGTGTGAAATTAAAAAGTGCTCCTTTCACAGGAAAGGTAAAGAAAAGAAAAGAAAAAAAAAATAACGGTGGAACATGAAAGGAGGTACAGCTGTAAGAGAGGTGATTATCGAAGCTAAAGAGCGTTCTTTTGAGGACAAAGACGTGGTATATAATTCTACACAAAGAATTCCTCGTGTAGTGGTCGAGGTTTTGTGAGATAGGGTCCGGGGATAGCAGATCCGAAAAAGAAGGGTTGAAGTAGTTATAAAAATCAGAATAGTTATGAATAAGGGCGTCTTAACCCAGAGGACCAAGTTAAATGATGAAAAATTACATTATTGATCGCAAGACTGAAGAGAACATTCATGTACGCAGTCGAATACCATTAAGATCAAGCCTAGACAACGTTACTGTGGTATGTTACTTCATTAGAGGAAAAGTACGCGGGTTCAATGAGAGATCTACGTACAAAGATTGAGAGCATTAAAATGTACAGTACCAGAGGAAAGAAGTAAACGGAATAACCCTTTATGCTATCCAGGTACGTAATATCAACAACAAAGGTAAAAAAAAAAAAACTTTCAACTCATTAGGAATAAGAGATCACAGTAAAAACCAAAGTACAAAACGTGGTGACAAAAAATTCTATGAAAACTACTGATGAATGTTACAACTCCCCAAAAATGCTAAAAGCATGTAAAAAGGTTCTAAAAACATTTATAATTGTATAAAGTTATCCTTACCTGTATATAAACAACTAGGTGAGAAAAAAAGTTTAAGTGTACTAAGTGCTCAGTAGAGACCTTTATAATGGTATTATTCTTTTTTTTTTTTCTTTTCTTTTTTTATGTTCACGTTCATACCAAATCCTCGAGGAATTCTATTTATTGATAGAGACTTAAACGTTTTGAATATTTTAACATCTGAAACACACAAGGTGTTCGTCGCTAATGACTTTTAACTGTTGACGCGGCAGAGGACTTTAAATATTAAATCACTATCAATCAAAAAAACTTTTCTTAAAAGACTAATGTATTATTTCACGGGCGAACAGTTAGAGGTTTTATCAAAGTCAACCTGAACAATTTTCCGTTCGTCTCGCTTACCAGAATTTAACTCGCCAACAGCGTCAACATGGTGTCATTTGAGTTTTAAGCTCATTCACATATATATATATATATATATATATATATATATATATATATATATATATATATATATATATATATATATGCGTGTGTGTGAGAGGAGAGAGATACATACACATATGTCATAATATATATATATATATATATATATATATATATATATATATATATATATATATATATATATATATGTACATATATATATATATATATATATATATATATATACAAACATTTACAAACACACACACATATACACACAATTACATGTTTGCAATATATATATATATATATATATATATATATATAATATATATATATATATATATAATATATATATATATATATATATATTTATATATATATATATATATATATATATATATATATATATATATATATATATATATATTATATATATATATATCACATGTTATATATAATATATATATTATATAT